GTTCAGGGTATAAGAATGAGAAAACTGCGGTTAAAATGGGGGGACGAGAAGAGGTGTAAAAAATTATCAATTTAGGACGAAGAAAAGGAAAACCCCACTAAAAACAGTTAGTTGTGAGTAAAGGGGCCCCAAATTTTCCTGATCAAATTGGGCCCGCATGGGGTTATGAAGAGGGGTGAATTTGAAGGGGAAGGAATAAAAAAAAAATTGGGAAAGATCGCTGGGGATGTAAACGGGGGGAAAAGACAAAGGGGAAGGGCTGTGCAGTGGAGGCGGAGCAGACTGAGGGATGATGCAAAAGAGAAAATGAGTACGAGGATCAAAATGGGGGGAGGTACCCGTATTTAAAAAAAAGGAGGGGGTGGGAAGCAAGGGAAAAACCTTGTTTAAAAGCCCCGGGGGAAACACAGTGAGCCCCCCCCCCCCGAGAAAATTTTTGGGCATTAAAATCGCCCAAATAAAGAAGTGGTGGGGGTAATGACGAAACAGAAACGCCCAAAAGGGTAATTGGGTCGAGGGGAGAGAGGTACAAAAAAACGGTGTATAACCCCCCTATGCAGGTGGATACGGGGTGCTGTGGTTAAAGCAGCGAAGTACCAAAAAAAATAGCTGGTTTTTTTCGGAAAAATAAGTGTGTTGAAAAAGGGCCTTTTTATTAAATTTTCCCCCAGAAAAGGAAACCCCAAAAATACAATATTTTTAGCCCGAGGGGGATAGGGAACAGCAGGTTTAATTTTGGTTTTTGTTTAAACAAACACCAAAAAAAAGGGAAAATTGGGGGGAGGCAACGTTTAAAAACTCACCCCGGGTTTCCTTTAGGCCCGTATATTCCCCCTGTTTTAGGCCATGACTGGGAACGATAAAGATACTTGAAATCCCCAGGGAAAGGGGGCCTTACGGGGCTAGGGAGTTAGAAACAATTCCCCTTTCGGGGGGCCCCGCGGAAAAAGTTCAAGAATAAGGAACGGTGCACTGTGAAAAAAGGGAAATTGGGCGATGGAGAGAGGAAAGAGGGAAAGGGCGAGGGTGGATTTTGTTTTCCATTGATGGGTTTTGGGGTTTTCAATATATTTAGAGTTGCTTCAAAGGGGTTTTGGAGGGGTTTGGTGCGTATGGGGGACCCAAAATTGGGGGATGGAAGGAGGAGGAGTTTGAGAAAAATCCGGGGAATGTAATGGACTTTTACCAAAAGGAGTGGAGGGCGAAAGGGTTTGGGGGGAAAATGGAGAAGTGTGGGGGGGACAGAAAGAGGCAGAAACCTGGGAGGTGGCAGAAGAAAAAAGAAACTTGGGGGGGGGACAGGGGAGGGAAGGACAGTACGAGGGAGGTTTAACCCCACCTTGTAAAAAGAGCCCGTGACAGGGAAAGACCAGGTTTCCCGAGAAGGGAAGGGGGAAAGTGTGGAGGTGGATGAAGGGAAGGAGGGAAAGGGGGTTTTTTTGGGGGCTTTGAGGGAAAAAAAGGGGACGATTGGGGGAGGTTCGTACGAGGGTCTTGCGTTTCCAGGGTTTTTTGGGGGGAAAAACCCCGAAGAAAAAAGAACGATGAAAGGGGTTGAATTTGGGGTTTTGAGCCCAGGACAGCAAAAAAAATTGAAACACGAGTGGACTATTTGGGACTGGGAACCACAGAGGGGGGCTGCAGGGGATGGAAAACCCAGAAGTGGGGGGATGTTTTGAAACACGGAATAAGAAACAAGGGGGTTGTCTTCCCCTTTGGAGGCGGAGATGGGGAAACCGTCATAAACTTTAAAAGGGAACCCCCCGCCCCTTTGAGGGAAAGAAAATTTTCCCGTCATTCAAATTGTTTTGGGCCAAAGGGGAGAGTTCGAAGGGGGGGAGTCATGACAATTAAGGGAAGAGGGAGGTCGATGCAAGACGTATTAGAATAGTCATCGGGATCCAGGGCTGGGCATTTGGGTTTAAACTGCAAAATTTTGCTGGGTGGCCAAATCCCTAGCAATTTTACACTGTTGCGGGGGTTGGATTCACCTTTTGAATTTTTAACGAGTCCTGCCCACATAAAAAAGAGGTGGGAGTTACGGCTGTTAAAAGTTAAACGAGCCTCATTGCAAGGGTATTGTCTCTGCCCGCGGGCAGGAAGAACATAAGTGTCTACCTTGAGAATTGGGAGATTTTGGAGTTCCAGCTGTTCGAGAATGTCATTGCCACATGTCTGGAAATTCTGTTGGACTATGGTATGGGGCAGAATGACAGTACCACTACAAGAATTGAGGGAATGATGTTTTTTGGTAGTGATAGGAATAGTATTGATATGTGAAAGGAGAGAAAGATCAAGAGCTTGGGTAGCATTCTGGATTGTGATGATGCACGTACCATTCTTAAGAGCATGAAAGGAAATATCTCTACCAACATGGCGTAGGAGTGCTTTGCCAATACTATGGTCGGAAAGATAAGCAGTAGAAGAAGTCGGTCTTAAAGTAAAGAATTTAGCCCATTGTGTGGTCCAAAACTGAGTGTTGAGAGGGAGTGTATGATGTCTCAGTCTTTTCTGAGTAGAATGGGAAGGTAACGAAGTAACGTCATCAAAAATTGTCGTTGGCGTTTAGAAGTGGGACCAGAGTTGGTCCGACATGGGACGGGCTGGCGATTCAAAAATTGCCGCACCGTAGAGGGAGAAACCGGAAGCATAGTCAAAGGAGAGCGGAGGTTAGACAAATCGAAGGAGTCAGTCGAAACCCCGGCACCTGAAGCGGGTGACGAAACAGCACCAGCAAGAGGTACAGGGGTCTTAGGAGTGTCCGAAGAGTGGCCCAAAGACGAGGCGAGGTCAGAACGGGGTGCGGTAACAATAAGGGGCCCTGGGGTAGTGGGGTCATGGATTGGGGACTCCATGGTTAGGTTACTTCTTTCTTTTCGTTTTTAAGGAAAAAAAAAAGAAAGAAGAAAATAAAAATAAAAAAAAAGAATAAAAAAGGGGGGGACCAGGGAGGGATAGTTCCTAGGAGGAATGAAAGGGCCAGGAATTTCCCTCCGCGCCCAAGAGGACCTCAGCACCGCAAGTAGCACAGATGCAGCATGGAACCCATGCCATACCCTACCCTTCATGCTAGTAAACCATTAATCCGGGATAGCAACCTCACATCTGCTGAGCTACCTCAGTGGACAAAAGAGAGGGCGGCTGGATATCCGCCAAAAAGCATACCTCCTTCAGCCACCACCCCCGGAATCCAAAAGGTGGCTTCCGGAGATACACCCGTCCCCCAAAAGACTCCCAAAGCCACCCTCTGGGATACCGGAGAGGGATTGGGACATCCCCAGGTGATCCAGATTCCTCGGCAAACTACACCACCACCAAGAACCTCAACGGAATGGGATGGACCCCAGTACCCTTTCCCCTACCTAGGAACTAGCATGCCTGTGGGAAAACCCCCAAAGGTCAAAAAAGGAAGGGCAAAAGGAAGGGGTGGGGAGGAGGAGGAGGAAAGGAAAAAGGGGAGGCTGGGGAGGAGGAGATAGGGAAGGGGGAATTGGGGGGTAATTAGGTTCGGTCTGAGGAAGGAGACCGACAGGTCTAATTCCTCAGACCAAGAACCTCTTCACCATGCCAAGGAGCCCCCCTTGAAGAGGCCAGTAACAGTAGACTTTAGACGGATGTGTGACATCATCCTAGTTCCTTAACATATTTATTGATGGAACTGTAAAAGAAGTGAATGCTTGGGTGTTGAGAGAAATGTAAGATTAAAAGTTATTGAAAGTTGAAAAGGTTGGTGGATGAATTTGGGAGAGTAATGTGAATATTATGTTCAGGATTTAAAGAATAGAAACTAGAAGGCTATTAATATGAAGTTACAGAAGGTATAATTCAGAGGGATGAGAGTTGTTGAGGTGATTTGGGCATTCAGAGAATAGAGCAAAATAAGACGACCAAGAAGGAATATAATCTAGGATGAACGGAAGGGCTGGCAGATGGGGGTACCCCAGGAAGGATTAGAGGGAGTTGGTTGAGGCTTTGAGAGCTAGGGACTTGAGGATCCAGCAGGCTTGTGTGTGTGTGTTAGACTGTAGTGAATGGAGAAAAACAATTTTTTTTATGGTTTGAAGTGAAGTTGGATTGTGAGCAAGAAATATATATGAAGGAATTCAGGAAACTAGTTAGCCAGAACTGAGTCTTGGAGGTGGAAATTACAGTACTCATACTCTAAGGAAGGGGTTGAGATACAAGGTTGGAGGGTCATTTGAATTCTGATGTCTTCAACATTTCTAGCAAGACAGGAATTAAATTAATGATGGTGAATGAGTTTTTTTTTTCTGGTTACCTCACCTAGGTGGGAGATGGCCATCATGTTAAAAAATAAAAATTCCACATATTGTTCCTCATTTTTTTGGGGTAAAATAACTTTTTCTATTATTGGAATGTTTTTTAATGTAAGCACACTTCCATCTAGTAACTATATATCCAGATACTATACAGAATATGAATAGCAGTTTCTAAGGTTGAGAAAAAACTCCAAATTTCTTGTGAAGAGAACATTTTCAGATGCTTTGGCCATTATTCCAAAAACCCCTTAAACGAGAAAACAAAACTTCCTTTGAATATAGTTGAATAACCCACACATATGATTAATAAATAAAAAGATTACCTAACAATATTTAATACAGGCGGGCCCCACTTTACAGTGCTTCGCTTTATGGCATTTCATTAAAGCAGCGGTTTTCATTTATTCAGATTTCCTAAAATAAATATATTCACCACTTTCTATAAGCTAAGGATGAAAATATTTTAAGGTAAGTAATGTGTGTACTGTATATGCATTTTTTAGGCCTAGCTCTATTGCTTACTTAATGTATGATAGTGTGAACATGTTATCAAGTATTTATATCCATATGAAACTGAAAAAAAAGCTGTTTCACTCTACAAATAATTTTGCTTTACAGCAGTAGCCCAGAACCTAACCTGCTGTATAAGCAGGGCCCACCTGTAATAATAATTTACTGCTTAAGGAAAAGAGATTAGTCATTTCTGAGTAAAACATGATTTCAACTTACATCAACAAGCCTTCTGTGGAGTGGTTGGTTGGCAGATGGAGCTATTTTACCGTGGAGATCCAAGGCATTCTCCAGAATCATTGTCTGTAAAGCATTCAAAATCTGCATAATACAATGTTAAACAAAGGCATTAAATTTATGATACAATATACTTATTGTGAGCAGTGAGAAAGACAATGTGTGTAAACTCATCAGACATGACTGAAGAGAGCAATGAGCAACTGACTGTCTGATCAGTTAGAGAATTGATTTAAACCTATTAGAAGAAACGCAGAGCAAGAAATGAGTATAAAAGTTAAATTATAGGAAGTTGAAAATGGAAAAAGAATGAAATGTGGACTGCAGCTTGAAGCCCACTGGAAGTACATTTAGCTCACAATTGAAGGACTCAGGTTTGGAATGAGTGCAGGAGAGTGATTTATGGGATTTGCTGTTAATGTGCAAGCAAGGTAATATTTATGAGGAGGAGGCTGGAGGCAGTGGAGATGATGTGTTTAAGGGCAATGGGTAGCGTCAATAATGTGCAGAGAATTCATAGTATGGAAATTATGAGGGGTGGAGTTACTAAAATTATTATTCAGAGGGCTGAGGAGGGGCTGTTGAGGTGATTTGGACATTTAGAGAGAATGGAGCAAAATAGGATGATTTGGAGGATGTATAAATCTGCAGTGGAGGGAAGGAGGGGTAGGGATTGTCTTAAAAAAGGATGGAGGAAAAGGTTAAAAGAGGTTATGTAGGCAAGGGGCTTGGACATACAGCAGTAATGTCTGAGAATGTTATACAGGAGTGAATGGAGACTAATGGTCTTTGGGACTTGAGCTATTGTGGTGTGTGCACGGTAATACTTTGTGAAGGGATTCAGGAAAACTGGTTAGCCGGACTTGAGTCCTGGAGGTGGGAAGTATGATGCCTGCACTCTAAACGAGAGGTTTGGGATATTGGATGTATGGAGTGACATCTGAACTGTTGTATCTGGGCACCTCTGCAAAGACAGTGATTATGTGTGAATGATGGTGACAGTGTTTCTTTTTTTGGGTCACCATGCCTCAGTGGTAGACAGCCGAAGTCTTGAAAAAAAATGTAAAGCTATTTTGTATCAAAATTCCATTGGGACGCAACTACTTCTCACAGAGGCTACTGATTTCATACAAGTAATACAACTGAATGGACCATTTAAACAGTACACAGAATTACAGGTGATCAAATGACTGTCTAACAACTCTTAATAACTTACTTGATCAGAGAGAAGAACCTTGAGTCTGTTAACATGGTCGGCATTTTCAGGGTACATAACTAGATAATCTGGACCAAAGAATGCATCTTGATACTTAGCCACGCCTCCATTAACAGCTGCATCTATTGTTCCTTGTAATCTCATTGTGAAGGGCTGAATATTGTCCTGCAAATATTTTGAATAATAAATTACTGATGAAATATATGCTTTGAAAATCATGCTGACACTAACCACAACCTTTCAAAAAAAAAAAAAAAAAAATGGAACATATACCATTAAATACTGAAGCTGGGATCATGAAACTGTAACACAAATAAGTCGAGTACCTGAGGATTTGCTCTGTAGTGGAGGGTAATCTGTCGGATTTGTTTGTTGTTGCGCTCGACAGTTTCACATGCATATTGTGGCGGACACAGCTGATCCATTTTTTGATCTACTACCTCGAACCACTTGAGAATGCCAGGTAGTTCAAACTCTGTTGTGTATGTAATTCTTTCTATCCACAAGTTCTGAGAAAAAATAATTTATAAAACATTTTTCAAGTACTACAACTAATAATGTCCTGATTAAATCATACCACGGGTGGGGTTTGAACCCACGGTCAGAGACTCTCAAAACTCCAGACCGTTGCGTTAGCCACTGGGCCAGCTAGCTTCAATAAGATTCATCCAACTAGGCATATTTCTACATCTATGGTCTAGGCACCATAGGTGTAGAAATATGCCTAGTTAGATGAATCTTATTGAAGCTAGTTGGCCCAGTGGCTAACATGACGGTCTGGAGTTTTGAGACTCTCTGACCATGGGTTCAAACCCCACCCATGGTATGGTTTGTTTGCAATCGTGTCATTACAATTTCGTGAGTAATGTTTTGATTACTTAAAGGTTCAACAAATACTGTAACAAAAATGCACACAGCCTTGTGTGTAATAATGTAATTGTTTTATATAATGGTAGGATTGCTGGTGTCTTTTGTCTGTCTCATAAATATGCAAGATTACAGGTACGTTTTGCTACTTCTACTTAGGTCACGCTACACATACATGTACATGTTTATATATACACACTCATCTGAGTTTTCTTTGATTTTATCTTAATAGTTCTTGGTCTTATTACTTTTCCTTTTATATCCATGGGGAAATGGAATAATAAGAATCTTTCCTCCATAAGCCATGCGTGTTGTAAAAGTCAACTAAAATGCCGGGAACAATGGGCTAGTAACCCCTTTTCCTGAAATAATTACTAAAAAGAATAAGAAGAAAATTGTCAAAGTGGGAAGTCTGAATGTGCATGGATGTTGTGCAAATGATAAGAAAGAGATGATTGTGGATGTTATGAATGAGAAGAAGCTGGATGTCCTGGCTTTAAGTGAAACAAAGCTGAAGGGGGGTGGGAGAGTTTCAGTGGAGAGGAATAAATGGGATTAGGTCAGGGGTTTCATATAGAGTTAGAGCTAAAGAAGGAGTAGCAATAATGTTGAAGGATAAGTTATGGCAGAAAAAGAGGGACTATAAATGTATTAATTCAAGGATTATGAAAAGTGGAATATAGTAAGCGTATATACACCTGGAGAAGAGAGAAGTATAGAGGAGAGAGAGAGATTTTGGGAAATGTTGAGTGAATGCGTGGGGAGTTTTGAACCAAGTGTGAGAGTAATGGTGGTTGGGGATTTCAATGCTAAAATAAGCAAAAATGTTGTGGAGGGAGTAGTAGGTAAATTTGGGGTGCCAGGGGTAAATGAAAATGGGGAGCCTTTAATTGAGCTATGTGTAGAAAGATTTATTTATTAATTAATTTGAACATGATACAGTGAAGTACAAAGTTATTGCAGTGCAACATATCAAAGCCCCTTGTATGCAGAGCATTATGAGCAGCTTAAAATTAAGATTAACTAAGCAATAATATATTCAGTGGTAAAAAACATTATTGTAAACAGATAACAATTTAGCACAAATGAGTATTACAAAGACAGGTCATATGGTCATTTAGTGTTGCTGAGCACTCAGTAGAATGGAGTATTCTGTTAGGAAATGTAATTAAAAAAATAAAGTTTGATTGGGTCACAGGTTAGACATTTATGAGATACAATTATTCAGTATTTATTTAGTTGTGGGTGAGTAAGTGATTTCTGAGAAGAGACTTGAATTTATAAACAGACAGTGTTTCTTTTATATTCACAGGTAATGAATTCCAGATGTTTGGTAATAAGTAATATATATTTTACGAAGAAGAGGACAAATAAATATACAAGGTATGATGTAGCACGTAATGAAAGTAGTTTGTTAGGTTATGTATTGGTGGATAAAAGGGTGATGGGTAGGCTCCAGGAAGTACACGTTTATAGAGGGGCAACTGATAATATCGGATCATTATCTAGTAGTAGCTACAGTTAGATTAAGAGGTAGATGGGATAAGAGGAAAATGGCAACAAGTAAGAGGGATGTGAATGTGTATAAACTAAGGGAGGAGGAAGTTTGGGTGAAATATAAGCAACTACTGACAGAAAGGTGGGCTGGTGCAGGTATGAGTAGCAGGGGAGTTGAAGAGGGTTGGAATAGTTTTAAAAATGCAGTATTAGAATGTGGGGCAGAAGTCTGTGGTTATAGGAGGGTGGGTGTAGGAGGAAAGAGGGGTGATTGTTGGAATGATGAAGTAAAGGGTGTGATAAAAGAGAAAAAGGTAGCTTATGAGAGGTATTTACAAAGCAGAAGTGTTATAAGAAGAGCAGAGTATATGGAGAGTAAAAGAAAGGTGAAAAGTGGTGAGAGAGTGCAAAAGAAGAGCAGATGATAGAGTGGGAGAGGTACTGTCAAGAAATTTTAATGAAAATAAGAAAAAATGTTGGAGTTAAACAAGTTAAGAAAGCATAGGGAACAAATGGATTTGTCAGTTAAAAACAGAGTAGGGGAGTTAGTAGATGGGGAGATGGAGGTTTTGGGTAGATGGCGAGAATATTTTGAGGAACTTTTAAATGTCGATGAAGAAAGGGAGGTGGTAATTTCATGCACTGGCCAGGGAGGTATACCATCATTTAGGCATGAAGATGAGCAGGATGTGAGTGTGGGGGAGGTGCGTGAAGCATTACGTAGAATGAAAGGGGGTAAAGCAGCTGGAACTGATGGGATCATGACAGAAATGTTAAAAGCAGGGGAAGACATAGTGTTGGAATGGTTGGTATTTTTGTTTAACCCTTTGAGGGTCGACAGGCCCTCTCCAAAACTCGTTCTCAGGGTCGGCCAAATTTAAAAAAAAAAAAAATTATTTTCTCCTATGAAAAGATAGAGAATCTTTTCCCGATCATAAAGACACCAAAAGTTTGAAATTTGATAGAAAACTTACGGAATTATGCTCTCGCAAAGTTAGCAGTCTCGGCGATGTTTATGCATCGGCGATTTTGCCCACTTTGCGCCCCATTTTCGGCCAATTTCACTGTACTAGTCGACAAAAAACATGAATATTTCGCTAGAACTCCATTTTTTCTATCGAATGGGTGCAAGAAACCACCCATTTATGAAATTCAACTATCCAGTACAGTGGTCAGAATTTAGCAATTTTGCCAATTTCACACAATTTCAAAAGATGCCAATTTCCGAATAGGGTCCAGAATAAACAAGAAAGACATTCCTGCACTAAAATGACATTTCCTCTAGTGATTAGTCACGTCTCAAGGCCCCTCTTATATTCTTTTGCTTTCCACTTTGAATTTTTATTCTCACAAAAAATATAAGATTTACTGTTATGCAGACTACTGCATTAGTGTAAAAAATGGTATAAATATTATTGTTGCACTTGTGAAAGAATATTAGACTCACCAGTTGACGTGTATTGCACGCTTGGCACGATTTGTTTACTTTTGAAGTTTGGTAAAAATCGAACATTTCTGCTACTTTGAGCTCATTTTCAAGGCACCTTTCTTTGTAAAACCAGTCAAAATCATCTCAATTTCTGTAATATGTCTTCCATTCTATAAAACGAGACCAAGAAAACTAGAATACAGCAATAAATTCCATACGAAAATACACTGCAAAGTCGCTGATTTATTAAAAAAAAATGGTCAAAGTTTTTTTTTTCTCATTATGCACTGTGTGCTGCAGGATTTTTTTTAGACTGTGCACACTGACCACATAGACCCATTCTTTCAAATGAAGGCCTACCAGCTTTCTCCCACTAGATTTGAGGCCGCTAGAATTTATGAGTACTAGTACGTCAAAAACCCCTACGCGTAAGACGTACTAGTACGACCAAAACCCTCAAAGGGTTAATAAATGTATGAAAGAGGGGAAGGTACCTAGGGATTGGCAGAGAGCATGTATAGTCCCTTTATATAAAGGTAAGGGGGACAAAAGAGATTGTAAAAATTATAGAGGAACAGGTATACTGAGTATACCAGGAAAAATGTACAGTAGGGTTATTATTGAAAGAATCAGAGGTAAGACAGAAAGTAGAATTGCGGATGAGCAAGGAGGTTTTAGAGTGGGTAGGGTATGTGCAGATCAAGTGTTTACATTGAAGCATATATGTGAGCAGTATTTAGATAAAGGTAGGGAAGGTTTTATTGCATTTATGGATTTAGAAAAGGCATATGATAGAGTGGATAGGGAAGCAATGTGGCAGATGTTGCAAGTATATGGAATAGGTGGTAAGTTACTAAATGCTGTAAAGAGTTTTTATGAGGATAGTGAGGCTCAGGTTAGGGTGTGTAGAAGAGAGGGAGACTATTTCCCGGTAAAAGTAGGTCTTAGACAGGGATGTGTAATGTCACCATGGTTGTTTAATATATTTATAGATGGGGTTGTAAAAGAAGTAAATGCTAGGGTGTTCGGGAGAGGGGTGGGATTAAATTATGGGGAATTAAATACAAAATGGGAAGTGACACAGTTACTTTTTGCTGATGATACTGTGCTTATGGAAGATTCTAAAGAAAAATTGCAAAGGTTAGTGGACAAATTTGGGTGTGTGTGTAAAGGTAGAAAGTTGAAAGTGAACATAGAAAAGAGTAAGGTGATGAGAGTATCAAATGATTTAGATAAAGAAAAATTGGTTAAATTGGGGAGGAGTAGTATGGAAGAAGTGAATGTTTTCAGATATTTGGGAGTTGATGTGTCAGCGGATGGATTTATGAAGGATGAGGTTAATCATAGAATTGATGAAAGAAAAAAGGCGAGTGGTGCATTGAGGTACACCTACCATCCGACTTACGACCTGCTCGACATACGTCAACTCAACTTACGACCGTGCATCTGGCAGCTGGGCTGGGCCGGCTGATGCACACCACTGTACAATATTTGACGATACTCGCGGCGGCAATGCGTGTGAGGAAAAAGTTCAACAGACAGGAGTAGTGAGCGAGTATATGGTAACGATAGTTTGATTGACGGCTGCTTGTTAAGGTAGGGTCAGTCTAGCTCCCGCTATCCCCTCCCCCCCCTTTCTCCCGGCCAAACAGTAATCACTCGACTCACAGCGCCCAGCACAACTGTAAGTAAAAGCCTCTGCTCCTATTCTAGTGGATATTGGTTGAAAGCTTCAC